ACTTAATATCCTTGATTAGTGTTCAGGACACAATTTCAAGGTGCTGTGGTGGCTCCATGCAAGTAGGAAATTAGGCTTCATAAAAACCTGTCTGGGTAAATATAAATATAAATATAAATAGTTTTAGGATTTAGGAGATACATTGATGAGTTCTGGAGATGTCTCTAACCTATCTACTCCTAGTTTTTGGAGCAACAGCATCGTGTAATGTTCCGACCATGCTGCTATACAGTTTCAGAAATTTCCAGTCYGGAACTTAATAGAGTATGATCTTTTTGTCACTGCATGGCTACAATCCCTCAAAAGATATATGAAAAATATGTATGAGGCATCATTCTTTCCAATGAGACTAGTCCATCAAAACCTATGTAGAGCGAGAAAAGTCATCATGAATTCAGATTCTTGTGCAGAAACATGGAATCAAATGGCAATGTCATATGCAGCAGGAGCAAAAATCTTCACCCAAGGAATAGTTAAGTTTTGCTGTAGTCTTGCATACTAAAATTCTGCCCAGATTCAAAAACTAATTGGACAAATTAATGGGGGAAAAAAAAACACATTAAGGAATGATTGCAAAGCTGCTGCCTTTGACTCAGGAGGTCTCCAGCCTACACCAGCAAACACCAGCCTGTGCTTGTTTAGTTCACAGAGGCTTCATATGGCTTTTGACTTGGGGCACAGTGGGAAGCAGGATCTTGAGCTAGGAGGAGTTTTGCTTTGACCCATCCTGGCAGCTCTTCTGCTCCAATTCCTATCAAGTGGGAAGTCTGCAAAGTCAGAAATAAAAGATTTTGTTCCTYGCTCAATTTGGTGTGTTTTCATTAATAGTGCTGCCCCCTCTCTTGAACATTGTTGTAGATGGGATCTGCAAGGCACTGATCCTCAGGTTCTGTGCCACTTTGTGCTATCTGGGAGCTTAGCCCACTGTCTGCAAACTGCAAAAAAACATTAGCTTGCAGCCAGCTTTGCAGAAATGTCAGCAGGTGCYGCACAAACTTTCTGAAGCTGAAACAGGTGAAAAGGGATTGTTAAAATACTGAGATCATGCATCAAAAAGCAGTGCCATAACGCTTCTTTTCCTTGCTTGTCTGGACTCTAAATAGTTAATCTACCTGAGCAAATAGGTAGGAGTGTTATTGCTTTCAATAAAGTTTGATTCCTGCAGGCAGATTTTTTTTCCAGTGAGTGTCAGATAATTGGAAGGTTAGGGTGAGGCAGGAAACCACAAAATGCCTTTGTCAGGGCTTGCTTAGGAGCAGAGCAGTAGGAAAGTGCAGGAAGGGGGAGAGTGAAGCAGGTTAAATAYGAGAAGGGGAGAACATTCTTGGATGATCACTCAGATTCCACACACCTTTGGAGGGGCATGGTATAAAGTGTAGGTGGAAATTTTTTGGTAGACGGAAAACGACTGAGGAAAAAGAGAGATTTCCAGTTCATTAAAGAAAGATTTCCAGGTAAGTTATATTACAAAAAAAAAAAAAAAAAA